AAGTTTCAAAAATGAAATTTTGACTTGGTTACACCCCCAATGTTTCCAAAATGAAATTTTTACTTGGTCACACCCCAAATGTTTCAAAAATGGAATTTTGACTTGGTTACACCCCCAATGTTTCCAAAATGAAATTTTTACTTGGTCACACCCCAAAGTTTCCAAAATGGAATTTTGACTTGGTTGCACCCCAAACTTGGAATTGTTTTCTAACTTCAATAATACATACATAAGTGGTTTTGCTGTTGACATGTGTTAGAATTTGCTTGTTTAAATACAGATAAGTTATTGGCTTGCATGTGAAATTTCATCAGAAACACGTGAATTAGCATTGTTTGTTGTTTATTGCATATTAATAACACTACCGGTTTGACCCGAACCGCCGGTTCGGTCACGGTTTGGTCCGGTTCCGGTTCGGTTCCAGCTAAAAAAAGTTCGGTTCTGTTTCGGTTCTTCAATTCTGGTTCTCGGTTCCAAACCGGTTCTTCCAAGAACCGAACCGAACCGCACCGTTGAGACCACTAACTCCAACGTGGGTTATCTCGGATATGGTGCTTATCCAGCCTACGCCGGGTACGGTTATGGAGGACTCGCCTACTACAAAAAGTAGATTTTTTTACACACATCAACGACAACCTACCCTTTTCAATTATTAAATTGCCATATTTTGTGTATTCAACGGGAAATAAGAATTTTGAAATTTTAACAAAATTGAAATATATCTAAGTGAAATTTGTAATCAGAAAATTCCCATAATTGCTTAAAACTAGAGCCATATAAAATTTTAAAATATTTCGAAACCGTAAAATTGAAACTTGTAAAGTAGAAAATTTCCACAGTTTTTTCTAATTGGAAAAAGAAATTTTGAAGTTTATGATCTGACAAAAATTGTATCGGAACGTTTTATCCCGAAAAAATTAAAGAATTAAAATCGCTTCATTTTTAATTCTATATATAAAACTGAGACATCATTTACATACTTTTACATCAAAAATTCCACGGTCTATACACATGCATAAGATTATTTGCATAGTTTTTGCATAAAAAATTGAACGCTCTTCTTGAATGCATGGCTTCAAAGTATTTTTTTGCAGCAAAATTGCATAAATATTCGGGCAAAATGTTTCACACCGAAAAAAAAATCACGTCAATTTCAAATCTGTAAATAAATCTGAGGCGTCATTTGAAATGAAATTTTTACTTCGTTACACCCCCAAAGTTCCCAAAATGGAATTTTGACGTGGTTACATCCCAAACTTGGAATTGTTTTCTAACTTCAATAACTGGATTTGCCGTTGACATGCATTAGAATTTGCTTGTTTAAATATAGATAAGTTACTGACTTGTATGTGAAATTTCATCAAAAAAACGTCAATTAGAATTGTTTGTTGTTTATTGCATGTTTATTGCACATTGATAACACTACCGGTTTGATCCGAACCGCCGGTTCGATCACGGTTCTGGCCGGTTCCGGTTCGGTTCCAGTTAAAAAAAGTTCGGTTCTGTTTCGGTTCTTCAATTCCGGTTCTCGGTTCTAAACCGGTTCTTCCAAGAACCGAACCGAACCGAACCGTTGAGACCACTAGTCATTTCCATACTTTTTGCATAAATAATTCTACCCTCTGCATTTACATATTTTTTTGAAAAAAAAATTACATAGTCAAAACTATATGTGACATGGCAAAAATATTATCAAAAGACAAATACGAAGATATTATAGAACTAAAATCAAAACATTTTTAGATCGTTAAATTTATACTGTCAGCATTATCAACGAAATACCAAGATCTAGTTAAGAGTGTCGAATTCCGTCTAGCCAGCAAAAAATTAGTTTTATAATTCTCCAAACAGCGTGCACATTCGTTTTGCGATACTGAAAAAATTAATTACGTAAATACAAGTTGGTATCAAAATTGAGTTTAGTCTTTGAGACAATTCTGGTTAAGAGTGTCAAGTTTCGTCTAGCCAGCAACAAATTACTTTTATGATGTGTGACTTTTGACCCATATAGAAGCGTGAGAGAGTGTGAATTCAGCATAATATTAGGTTCAGGTTACGAATATGTGCATACGTTTTTATGTTGTGGGGGAGATAAGAAAATGATCCGAAAAGGTTGACCTGAGTCAGGTCACCTGACCAAAATCGGCAAATTTTGAAAAAAAACGTTTTTCGGTTAATCGGATGTTAGAAAGTTTTACGAAACCGGGTTTTCGATTTATCGGATTTTGGGAATACGATTTTCGATTCTGTGCATAACCGGTTTTTAAGATCGGTTTTAAAGCAATTTTAAAAAGTTTGCAAATATAATAACCAAAAATTAAAGGCAAAATTAAAATTAAATTGTCACTGTCTGGTCAGAAGTATATAAGATTGACATCATGCTGCTGCTGGCCAGTGGTGGTGTCGTCCTAGATTTGCAAAGTTAATGATGGTGAGGTTTACGCTGTTTACGAAGTTCGCGTGATGACTTATGCAGATTTTCATATACAGCATTTACAAGCCGCACATAGTATCATTTTTTGCAGTAAAAAAATTGCTTGGGTAAAATTCCACGGTTTGCATTTATTTATTTTTTTGTAACAAAATTGATGACAAAAATCCTATGAAAACATACGTTATACGATGAGGGAGAATGAACAAAGATAAATAAAAGCATTACATCTTTATCCACAAAAACTTACGTAAAACTGCATAAATCTATACATGACGTATTACTTGTTAATGTTTTGCACCAAATATTGCAAAACTGCAAGCATTCCAACTTTTTATTGAGATGCAATTTTATGCATATAAACAAAATCTGCAAACTAAATAACTGGTTATGATGAAAATGATGACGTTGTGTCAGTATTCATAAGCGTCATTGTTTTTTATTATTAACAATGGAGGTGTCCCAACGTATGCTCACAGATTTGGACCAAATTAGCGTCAATCGATCACAAATTTAATTAGTATGAATTTTGCAAATGGAACCATCTCCCAATGCGCAGGTTTGGCGGAGATATTTGCATCCAAAGCGGGAAAAATGCGCAGCAAATTTGGAAAATGAAAAATTTGCCAGCCTTGGGGATGTGTTTTCTCCTCTTTTTATGCAAATATCTCCGCTAAACTTGAGCATTGGCAGATAGTGCCATTCGCAAATTTCATACTAATTATATTTGTGATCGATTGACACTAGTTTGGTCCAAATCTGTGAGCATACGTTGGGAGACCTCCATTGTTATTTTTTGCCACTTACAACGTATGTAACTGTAACGTGCAAAAAAATCCCATTTCTGTCTGCACATGGTAAATTTTACTTCTCCTTCTTTCTGCCGTAATATTTATAGATTTGTATGCAAATTAACCATGCAAATATAAGTATAGTTCCATTTCTAACATTATCATACTAATTATTATTATCCTGCAGGTGAGTCTTGACTGAATGAAATTGCAATTTATTTTAATTAGTCTCGGACCTCAGTGTCAATGTCGTACTAAAAAAAATTACACATAATTCAATTTGAATACCTAATCGAATTCCGGTTTGGAACCGTCTCGAAGCAAAAAAAGAGCCTTGAAATGGAAACAAAATTTTGCACATAGCAAAAAATAGTATTTTTGCAATAATTAAATTTTTACATTTCTGCAAATACCACGCCGGAAATATATTTTGATAAAATTGATCATTTGTTTGCACATATGCAGATTGAATTAGTCTTTTACAGAAGATAGCTTCTTGTTTCAAAAGAAGAAAACTTGATGAAAACGAAACTTGAAATTTTATTTCACTAACGGAAATTTATACTGGAATTTTTTTTAGAATCTCAAAATTTGAATTTCAAATTTGCAACATAATTGCAACTTCTCCAAGTCACCTCGTCGTTCATATAATAATGAGTGGGATGACATTGAATCAGAAATTTAATGGTTTTTTTAGCACAGGTAAAATTAGTTACCTACAATTTTGCAATTTCATCATGTCACGTGTGGTTGGAATACAGGCAGGATATTAAATGCACATGTACATGAAATGAAGAAGATGATGATTAAACGTCTACCTAAAAAAATGGAGGGTAGACTAACTAACTAATTTTAGTTAACGATAATAAAGATTACTTAATTTAATGACAATCGCTATCGACTATGTATCAATGTTGTAAATAATTATATGTATATATGTACGAGTCGTAAAATCCGTAGATCCTTCACTTTTTTGTCTCCGGTACACTTTTTGGTTTTGGTTCATCACTTCTTTACTGGAGGAGAACAGTAGATCTCTGTTTTTCCAGAAATGTGACCTCAACATTTTTAAAAATCTCACAACATAATTTAGAAATTGTCCATTTAGAAAATTTGTGTAAATAATTTGCCAATTAATCATTAAATTTTTCTGTTGTTAAAAAAACCTGAAATTTGAGTCATTGCCCAATCCTCAGAAAAAATAACGTGACCTCAACATTTTCATAAATATCGACATAATTAAGTCTCAATTTCGTAAATAAGTAAGCCTCAATTACGTAAATAATTAACCCACATAATTAAGGAAGACTTCGTACCTTCAAAAACTATTACTATTTTTCTGTTGTTTAAAAAACCGTGAAATCTGAATCATTCTCAAATTCTCGCAAAAAACGTGATCATTTCCACCTCGGACTTCCCAACCTGAAGGATTTCCCCGTCAAGAAGTACAATTCCTCTCCATGAATGAACTTTGTAAACTATGCAAAAAACATATTGGCAGATTTTTTTTTCTCTTCCAAAAAATCAGCGCAATCCGACATCCGCTCGAATTTCTTGTGTATTTGCATCCAAGAATTTACTAGGAATAGTGGTTCAACAATCAGTTTCTTTACTTGGAAGTGAGTGAGTGAAATGTGTAAGCGATTGTTGATTTGCAACAATCATGCAGAAGTAAATAGCAAATTGGGGTTGAGATGAGAAGTTAGTGACGCACATTGGCAGGTACCGACGTATAGTGGTACTTGATCTACTCGACTATAAAATACCCCATGCAAAACGAAATCAATCGCAAAACTACGATATCATTTTGAGCGGACGGAAATCGGAAAGGGAAACATTTCCATGGTAAATTGTGATAGAAAATTATAGTGAATTTTGACGCATTAAGGTGATAAAGTATTTGAGTGTATGGAAATCGAGAATATACAAATTTTAATGATAAATTCGTAAGGAAATTTGTTACAAATTTTGACGGATTTTGGTGATAAAGTGTTTGAGTGTGTGGAAATCGGAAAGAGAAAATTTTCATGACAAATTTTTACTGAAAATTTTGACCAATTTTGCCCAGTTTTTCTAATAAAGTGCTTGAATGTTCGGAAATCGGGAAGAGAAAAATTTTCATGATAAATTTTGACAAAAAATTGTTATCAATTGTGACGAATTTTGTTGATAAAGTGAGAATTATGATCATTTGAACGGAAGAAATTCGGAAATCATAATTGTGACGAAAAATTGTGACGAAATTTGTTCATGAAGTGAGAATTATTATGAAGTCGTACACCGTAAATCATGGCGGTGGGGGCGGTGGTATCGTTCCTGGTAACTCTAGAATTCCGCAATATCTCGCTGCAGCAGCAGGTATTTAATTTAATTTAAATACTTAAGGGGATAAGTGCGCTTATCAAGAACGACTGGAAGATAAGTGGTTATCTTTTTTCCTAGTAACTGTGGGTGGATTCGCGATGGGATCCGCGCTAGGTTGGTCGTCCCCATCACTGCCAAATCTTAAACAAAGCACAGACTTCTATCCGCTCCTCGATCCCACACATCTTTCTTGGATTGGTTCAATCTTAACGGTAACAATTTCACTACTTTTTAAAGTTTGGAAATTTTCACAGAAATTTTAGAAAATATGATAGATCATTTCTTGAAATTTTGTTAAGCATGTAAGCATATATTTTAACTTTAATAACTTCCTAAGCTTTGAAATTGCATGCATCATTTATGCAATTTTTCAATTTTAACTGCAATACATAATTTCATAAGGGTGGAAATTCTTACAATTTTTAGAAATTTCATAAATCATTTCTAGAAATTTTGCTATTTTTTCTAAAATTGTACATATTTACCTGAATCAGATTTCAGTTTTAACGGGAACAATTTCACTACTTTTTGAAGCGTGGAAATTTTTTCTTTGGAAATTTCATAAATTATGTATTGAAATTTTACAATTTTTTGAATCAGATCGGAGCAGCCGTGGGGGCTTTGCTTTCCGGTGGACTGGTGGACCTTTACGGGCGAAAGGTGACCATGTTGATCTCATCCGCGTTCTTTTTGTGGGGCTGGATTTCTCTCGGCCTAGCGAGGGGGATAAACCTCCTCCTCATCGGCAGATTTCTCACCGGTACGATAAGCAATTTTATCCCGATAAGTAAAGATGTCCCGTAATGACATGTCATTAATAACAAATTGACATGTCACAAATGTCTAATTTGTGACATTTAAAATTTGTGACGAATATGACAATTTCAAATTGGCATAAATGTCCACTTTGTCCGTCATATTTGCCATAAATGACCAATTTGACCGTCACTGTTCGTCATATTTGACATAAATGTCGGTCACATTTGAATTGGAGGGTTTAAATTGACAAATATAAATATATCGGCTTGACAAAGATAAGCTTCATCCCCACCGATAAGTACATTTTCACCTATCTTATCTAAAATCTCTATATAGGCCTCGCCGTGGGTTGTTTGTCCCTCGTGGCCCCACTTTTCCTCACAGAGATCTCACAACCTCAAGTTCGTGGCGTTATTGGCGTCGCTTTTCAACTCATGGTTGTTCTGGGCAGCTTGTTCTCGTGAGTTTTAAGCAATTCCTTAACTAATTTTAGTAATTTGGAGGTCTCCCAGTGTATACTCTCCGATTTTGGGCAGCAAACTAGTGTGAATCAATCGCAAATTTCATTAGGATGAAGTTCGCGGAAGACGCGATATCCCAATGGGCACGTTTCGCATGCAGAGATATTTGCATCCGAAGAGGAGGAAACGCGTCCTAAAGTCGACAAATTGGACACTTTCCAAATTTACTGTGCGTTTTCTCCTCTTTGGATGCAAATATCTCTGCCAATTGGGAGATCGCATTTCTTGCAAATTTCATCTAGATTTTTTATTGAGATGCTTCAACGTCTATTTAGATAATTAGTTTTGTTTGTAATTACACTCAATTCAATCAAGATGCTAGGAACAAATTTCATCCTAAATAAAATTTGCGATATATTGACACTAATTTTCTCAAAATCGCAGAGCATACGCTGGGAGGCCTCCATTCTTAGTTAATTAAATCATTATTAATTCGCATCAAATTCAGCACGGTTTTGGGGTCGTTATCCGGCTGGCGGGTATTGTCCTGGGCGTGTTCAGGAGTACCGGTCATTTTCGCTTGTGGGATCTGCATCCTCCCCGAATCGCCGAGATTTCTCCTCCGCAAAGGAAAAGTCGACCAGGCGCGGAGTGCTCTCAACTGGTTGCGAAACGGGGATCCAGACGTTACCCAAGAATTCGAAGATGTAAAATATAAAATTTCGTAAAATAAATACGGGGAAAAACGGGGGGTGGGAATTTTATGTTCCCGATTTTTTTCCCAAAAATTGTTTCTCCAAATTTTTGTGACGAATCTAAGCGACTTTTTTGGAGGGCTCCTCTGATCAATTTGATCTGTAATTTTTGCATTGGACTCGATGACTCATCATTATAATGGTCAAAATCAGTGCATTTTAAATCGTTTTTAGCTTCTGGGAATTTATTTTAAAATTCTGAACGACAAATTTGCAGTCAGTGAGTTGATTAATGGAATAGCGTAGAGTTTTTTGAGCCAGTTTCGACGAGTTCCAATATTTCTGAAGGTTTCTTAAACTTGAGATCTCCCCCTTCAAAAAGTGTCAAAATCTGGAGTGTATTTTTCTAAAAAAAATTGGGAACTCCCTCCTCTACAAATTTATCGTTCAGAATTTTAAAATAAATTCGAGAAACGATTAAAAATGCGCTGATTTTACCATATTTTTTTGTCATGGGCCATTAAGTCTTATGTTTGATCAAAAATCGCACCCCTACTAAAAAACTGTTGCAAAATTTCCTTAATTATTAACTAATTATAAATTATCATCAATTTTTCCAGCTGCAGGAAAGCACTCTACCCTCGACCCCGTCACTTTCCCTCGGCGCCATCCTATCGCCCAGGATCCTTCGCCCCATCGGCGTCACCATCAGCCTCGTCCTCTTCAACCAAATCTGCGGTATTTCCGCCGTCAATTTTTACACGGTCGACATTTTCGCCGCGACGGAAAAAGGTGGCGACAATGTCATCGCCGACGACGCCGGCGCCTTGGAAAATTCCGCGACCACCGCTGGCGCCAACTTGAGCGCCATAATCGTGCAGCTGGTCCAAGTGGGCGCGGTTTTCCTGTCCTCCCTCCTCGTCGACCGGGTCGGGCGGAGGGTCCTGCTTTTGACCTCGTTCGCCATCATGACCTCGGCCCTGCTCGGATTAGGAGCGTCCTTCGTGGTGCATTTGGTACGCTGATTTTTTTTTCAAATTATGAAAAAAATACTTATTTGCATAAATTTTTAGAACACAATTTTATTTTGCTACGTATTGTTTCCGGTTTTTAGGGAATTTTACAGATACCAAGTCGGAATCTTTTAGAATATTTCAAATTAGACTAAATTATCTGTGTGTATGAAATTCTTTAAATTTTGAGGATAAAATATTTTTAGAATGTCGAATTGTCGAATGAAACAATCTTTACAACCTTAGATTACACAAATTATTATTTTTTCTTCATAACATTTTTTACGTCGCTTTAATTTTACTAATTTTTTTTAAGCAGACTTATTTCTATTTTTAAGGAATTTAAAACCAAATTATGTAATTTTGATTGATTTTTTTATGATTTGGTTTTCAAAATATTTTTTAGTCTTCAAATCTGACAAATTTTGATGATTTTGTTTTTCAAAGTATTTTTAGAATAGGTACTCCAATTTTACAAATTTTGACGATTTATTTCCAAAATATTTTCCTCGTAAATTTTGACGGTTTTTATTTTCGACCTATTCAACTTTACAACGGTTTTTTCCAAGGCCTCAAAATATTGAAGATAAATTCAAATAAAGAATTCTTTAGATCGGTCCCTTAAATTTGTATGATTTAAAAAATACTCAAATTTTGCAAATTTTGATGATTTACTTATTTAAAAAATATTTTCAAAAATTTTGAAGATTTTAATTTCCAAATTATTTTTTTCAGAACACTCCACTCTTGTCCTGGCTTCCCCTCGCGTCCGTAATTTTCTACAATGTCGGTTACTCCATCGGGATCGGATCTCTGGTTTGGACCGTTATGAGTGAGCTGCTTCCCGCCTCCGTCGTGGGCGTGGTTTATGCCCTCCTGACCGCCTACAATTGGGCGCTGGCCTTCCTCATCACCAAATATTTCGCCCTTCTCCAAGAATCTTTTAGTATTCAGAACACATTTTGGGGCTTCGCGGGCTGCTGTGTGCTCGCGGGAATTTCAATTTTCTTCACGGTTCCAGAAACGAGGGGAAAAACGCTGGAGCAAATTCAAGACCAATGTTTCAACGGGAAAAAGAACAAGTCAGACTTGAAATCGGATCTGGTTTGCTGATAATTAGGTTAATTAATTGTGACTAATTATGCTAATTAACTTAATTAATTATTTATTTAGTCTGTGATAACCAAAGTTAATTACTTAATTGTTTAATAAAATACTTTAGTTGACACTATTTTGATTCGAAATTGGATCTAGTTTGTCGATATTAATTAGGCTAATTAACTGTAATTAATTAATTATTTATTCTGTGATAACCCAAGTTAATTAATTGTTGAATAAAATATGTACTTTACTTGACACGATTTTATTTCGAGTTTTTACTTGAAAAGAAACAAGTTAGAATCGAAATTAGATCTTTGTTTCTTCATAATTACATAAGCACGTGGTTAATTATTTATTTAAAGATAACCAAAGTTAAATAATAAAATCTTGGCTTGTTGAGTAATTACTTAAGTATATAATTAAGTTATTTATTCTCTGATAACCAAATTCAGCGATAACAGACTAAATGATAACCGATATTATTTGACGCTATGTCATTCCATGGGGCACCACGCCATAGAAACGGTGTCAATAAATCGTGGTGCACATCAGCGGCACAAAATTTCTGAGCACTTTTATCTCCTCGTTGAGGCGCCCAGCTTGCAAATCAAGCCACCTCTTCCCCCCGCGGGATTGGCGACCATTTTTTTCCGGAAATGGATAAAACAAAGATGAAAATCTCGCCAAATCTACGTCTCCTCGTTGCTGTCACGATCGTCGCCGTCGTTCTTATTTTGGATCGCATCCCACCCGCGGAAGGTTACCCCCCCCCCAAAAAAAAAAACTTTACACTAATCATGAAGATCTTGCCGCGTATGCGATCCGATTTTGAGGAAATTAGTGTCAATCGATCGCAAATTTAATTAGGATGAAATTTGCGAAGGACGCGATCTCCCAATGGGCACGTTTGACAGAGATATTTGCATCCGAAGAGGAGAAAACGTGCTCTAAAGTCGACAAATTTTACACTTTCCAAATTTACTGGGCGTTTTCTCCTCTTGGGATGCAAATATCTCTGCCAAACGTGCCCATTGGGAGATTGCGTCTTTCGCAAATTTCATCCTAATTAAATTTGCCATCGATTGACATTAATTTCGCAATCACATCACAAATTGAATTAGGGTGAAGTTTGCAAAAGTCAAGATGATCACAAATGGGCACGTTTGGCCGGAATATTTGCATCTGAAGAGGAGAAAATGCGCAGTAAATTTGGAAAGCGTACAATTTGTCAACTTTAAGACGCGTTTTTCTCCTCGACAAATTTTACACTTTATAAAATTTATTGTGCGTTTTCTCCTCTTTCGATGCAAATACCTCTGCCAAACGTGCCCATTGGGAGATCGCGTCTTTCGCAAATTTCATCCTAATTAAATTCGCGATCGATTTACACACTAATTTGCTCAAAATCAGATCGCACCCGCTGGGAGACCTCCATTGTCATAATTTTCACATCATTTTCACCCTTTCCTTCCTTCCACAGGGCTGAAATGTTTCATGTGTACGGGACATCCGTTTAATGAGAGTGGAATAACGACCGCGAAGGAGGATCCGGCTGGGAGGCAGCAGGAGCCCGACCCCGAAGAGAAAGAGGAACAGCTTAAGACAGCCATGAAGTGCACAGATTTGACCGAATCCACGAAAAAAGACGAAACAAACGTGGACTATTATAAACCAGAATGGAAAGGTAAACTTTCCACGTGTGTATGTAATACCATTCAGTGATGACGAACAAAAGTGTCCAAAATTGTCCAAAATAATTTTGCACTGGATTTCGTTCTAGTGTCCAAAATAATTTCTAAAATGATTTTTCAAACGGTTTTGAGGACTAGATTTTTAAAAAACTATACAGTTTTATTTACACACGACCAATTTCTGATAATAATTTCTGATTTTGGACTTGTCCTAAACTAATTTCTGATTTTGGACTTGTCCTAAACTAATTTCTGATTTTGGACTTGTCCTAAACTAATTTCTGATTTTGGACTTTCGTCCTAAAGCGTTCAAAATAATTTCTGATTTTGGACCGTTGTAAAGTGTCAAAAATGATTTCTTATTTTGAAAATTGATTCCGGTTTTGGTCGTCAGATTTTCATTTTCTATTTTGTACACTTTTTTGAACGTCTAAAACTGGACCAATTTAAGACTAAATTCAAACCCCCATTTTCCAATTTGGACAATTTTGGACATTTTTGACCCACACCAAAACCCTGATAACCATACGTCGGATATGAATGAAAAATGACTTTTTCCATTTATTGAGCTACAGTTGCCAAACTTTCGGAGAATGTTTATGGTCACTACTGTTCATCCAGTATTATTAGTCGCAAAAAATTCTGGAAGGTTACCTGGCAGATTATTTATTTTTCAATTAGCAACCAAATAACCTCTCAGAAAATTTTCCAAGAAATTGCGACTAATAATACTGGATGAACAGTAGTAGGTCACGTAGGTTAAAGCATATTTTCTCATATTTGTCATATTTTCGGGTTTTGGGACATATTCATATTCCCGATCATATTTCAGGGTTTTTTCGTTAATTTTATCATTTTTGGCCAAATTTCAAGATTTGGCAACCAAATCGACGGAAAATGACAAAAAATTCAGTTTTCTCACAATTATTCATTGTGAGAAACTCTCAGAAATTTACGTTCACTTTCGCATAAGGTGATTTAATTCATTGAGAATGAATTAAATCACTCCAGAACTTGTTTAATTGATAAAAATTGAGCATTACAAGAAAATATATCAAAAAATTAAGCCAAAAATTTGAAAACTAAAGTCATTTTTATGGTCATATTTTGGGGATTTTTACGGTCATTTTTCATTCATATTTTGAGGTTTTATCTTTCATTCATATCCGACGTCTGCTGATAACATAACCCTTTTCTATGCAGATCCATATTGCATCACGCACGACCGGTACGGCAGATACTGCACCACGGACAATGTCAACGCGACGGGGCCGGAAAACTACGTCGCGATCTGTCAGCCCGGTCGCGGCAACGAGACCTGCATCTGTAACAACGACGACTTTTGCAACGATCACTACATGGCGGCAACGACCAGACCGAAAAACGGGGCGAACGGCATGTCGACCAAGTTTCGCCTCGTCGTCGTCACGTGGCTCGTCACGTGTTTCGTCTACTTTGGCGCCAGTGGTGGTGGGGGCTTCTGAATCAAGGCGGTAATCTACGTGATGCCGTTATCTAAGGAACGATATCATATCTGGAAACGATTTATTTTTTTAAGAAAAGCTATAAACAATTTTTTATAGAAAAGATGTAAAAGTCTAATTGTGTACAAAAATGTATAGATAATTAACGCACATAATTGGCTAAATTATTCAAATAAATTGTAACGTCGCATTTATAATTCTGTAATAATCAAAGTTAATAGTTAATTATCATGATTAGTAATTAATTAGTAATTAGTTATTTAACACTTCCTTGACGGTACTCTACCTCTGGCAATGCCAGACTGGCATCTGTAACGAGGACTTTTGCAACGATCACTACATGGCGGGGACCACCAGACCGAAAAACGGGGCGAACTGCATGTCGACCAAGTTTCGCCTCGGCGTCGTCACCCTGCTCGGCGTCGTCACGTGGCTCGTCTAACGAATCATGGCGGCAATCTCAAATTTCTAGGGGATCTTTTCGTCTAGAAAATTTCGTGTCTGGAAACGATTTATTTTTTTTTATAATTGGGTACAAAAATTTATAAAGAATTTCCGCACATAATTTGCTGAATGTATGGTTAAATTATTCAAATAAATTGGAACGTCGCATTTATAATTCTGTGATAACCAAATAAGTTAGTTAATTATCATAACTAATTAATAAGTACTTAATAAGTAAGCATGCAATTAATTAAGTTGTTTATTTCGGGATAATTAAAGTTAATTATTAATCTGTTCAATAAAAAAATGCTAATTTTTAATTAGGCTTATAGTTACGCTATTTATTAAGTGACACTCAAAGATAATTATATAATTAGCATAATTAATAAATAATTAAGCATGCAAGTAATTAAGCTATTTATTGTTTGATAACCATGCAAAGTTAGTTAATTGCTCAATAAAATAGTTTCTCTAACACGATTTCGGAACACAATTGTCCCGATGTCCCGCCGCCCAGTGCGCGATTTGGCAGTCTTTTCCGCAATATGAGACCTCTTTACAGCGAGAGCACCGTTTCGTCCCTTCCTTCGCGCAGTTCGGCGCGGCGCACCGTTTCGGGATGGGCAGCGCGCCGGAGAAGGAGTCCAAATCATAGGCGGACGCGAGGCGCTGAGCCTTCTGGAGCATGACCTCTTTACTTCCGGTGACCAATTCTTGTCTGAAATAATTAAAGGATATTTTAGGTCAGGAAATGGGATGGGTTTTCATATTTTCAAATTTTTAAGGGATAAAATGTGAAGGATTTTCATAATTTCAAATTTTGAAGGGATGAAATGGGAGCGATTTTCATAATTTCAAATTTTTAAGGGACGAAATGTGAAGGATTTTCATAATTTCAAGGTTTTAAGGGTTTGAATGTGATCGATTTTCAGATTTTCGGAATTTTAGAGGATAAAATGTGATAGATTTTCATACTTTTTTAATTTTTAAGGGATAAAATGTGAACGATTTTCCGATTTTCAAATTTTGAAGGGTTTGAATGTGATCGATTTTCAGATTTTAAAATTTTGAAGAGATAAAATGTGATCGATATTCATAATTTCAAATTTTGAAGAGATAAAATCAGCTCAATTTTCGAATTTTTAAAAGGTCAAATCAGCTCGATTTGCATAATTTAAAAGTTATAAAGAAAAAATAGGACATTTTTCATATAATATACACATTTTCAGATTTTTAACTTTAATCGATGTTCATTTTTCATATTTTTAAATTTGTAAAGGATAAAATGGAATTATTGAATTTTCAAATTTTTAAGCACTAAAATCAAACCAACTAGATTTTAATTTTCTTTAAAATTTTTACTTACTTGAAATGCCTCAAAATTTTGGCCTCATCCTTCTCGAACTTTTCCTCCAGGGCGGCCCTAATCGGAGGGACGAGTTCCAGCAAAAGGGGGCTTTTTCCCGGTCCAAATGGTCCCTGGGTGACGGCCAATTGGTTCAAAAAGACGGAAAATTCGCCCAAAATGGGGATTTGGTCCAACGTAACGTCATTCAGGTAGGGACGCAACTTGAGCAAATTGTTCTTCCGAGCATCGTACAGTTCGTAGGAGGACAGGATCTTGTTGTTCTTCAAGAGAAGGTACAAACTCAGCCAGGCTTGGGCTTCAGTGTTGCTGAAAAAAATTACAAAAATTTTATTCAAAAATTTTGAAAATGTTAAAAATGTTAATGTAGAACAGAAGAATGACTCATTGCCACTTTTTTAAAGAAATATTCACTCCCGATATTATTTTGTTTAAAAAACAACAACCAAAATCAGGATTTATTTCAAAATAAAATTAACGTAGGACTCGACTCATCGGTAAAATGGTCAAAATCAGCACTTTTTTTAGGGCATTTCTCCCCTCTCGGAATTTATTGTAAAATTCTGGACGACAAATTTGCAGCCTGTGCGTTGATTAATGGAATGGCGCTGAGTTTTTTGACCCAGTTTCGACGAGATCCAATTTTTCTGAAGGCTTCTTAAACTTTAGATCTCCTCCTTCAAAAAGGGTCAAAATCTGGATGATTTAAACGCCGATTTTGAAATTTTGCTAATTAGTATATCCTATTTTTAAAAAAAGATTAAATCGAAGTTTATTATCTCGGAGTGGCTGATTTTTAAAAAGTTTAGCGTGCTAAAATTTATCATATCAAATGCATAATTTTGTAAAATAATAAATTTGTCGTTCAGAATTTTAAAATAAATTCCCAGAGCGAAGAAATGATCAAAAATACACTGATTTTGACAAAGAGCCATCCGGTCTCATGTTAAATACATTTTTCAACAATTTTTGCTCTGCATTTCTGCACACAAAAATGTGCAAAAAAATTGTGCAAATTTCTATCTCCTCAATTTTCATGCTGCTAAACCCACATATTGTTTTTTACCTTATCATCCCCCTCACACTGGGATCCACTTCTTTCCACTGGGACGAAGTCGGCTCCAAATCCTCCACCCGGCCCGTCTTCCAGTACTCTCGGCGCCACGGTTTCGCCACGATGAGTTCGGTGAGCAGCATGGGAGTGTCGGTGGAGATGACGAGGCGCGAGGTCAACCCGTGACCCAGATTGTCCACGTTTTCGATCAGATATCGCAGGCAGGCCAGCGCCTTGAGGGCAGCGCCGAGCAGGAGGGAGTCCGACTGGGCGCGGAGGTCAAGGTCGGGGTCGGGGTCAAGGTCGGGGTCGGGGTCAAGGTCAATCTTCTTTTTCGTGACCTTTTCGTCGTCTTCGTCGTCAAAATTTGTGGCCCCGGCGAGGAATCGGGTCAGAGTTCGGAGACAATAGTCGGCCAGGTCGAGACAAGCGTCGCCCAACGTTTCGACGGCGGAGGAGTGGAACAAAACCGTTTCGAGGAGGTTGAGAAGGGTCGATTCGTGGTAGAGGATGGGGTAGATGGCGAATCCACCCTGGAGGAGAGGTCAAGCAAAGGTCAAGCATAGGGCGTTAAAAATTGGAAAATTTTGAACAACGGGGGCCCGATTTTGGACGATTTTTCGTTTTTCGATTTTTAAAACTTGGTTTTAGCCAATTTTTATGAAACCGGGGTTCGATTTTTCCGATTTTGTTAAATTTTAAATCAAGGATGGATTTGAATATGGATATTTTTACGGAACTTGGTTTAACCCGAGTTTTCAAATCACTGAATTTTTAAGATTGTATAAAAAATATTTTGGAAAATTTTGGCATTAATTCTTCCATGAAATAGAAGAAATGATAAGGCGTACATACATAGTTGAAAAAATCGGTCGGTTTTCAAATATACCCGGTTTTTCAAAACATTTAAAACCGAGGTTTTCTAGGTCAAAAGGTCAACGTACGTGTCCCTTCCCATCATCCTTTTGTTCCTTGAGGGCCTTAAGTACTTCCGGAAAGACGCGTTCTCTCCACAATTCCACCAAAACCAGGTCGTGGACGAGGTGCGGGATCTTCTCCAACGTGACCAGAAAATCCTTCACCGTTTCCTCCCGCCCTGACAGCGCCTGAATTACGGACTGGATCGCGAGCTGTTTTACCCGCTCGTGCTTATCCAACCAGCCAAGGCAGCCTAAAGATAAGAAAAATATATGGCATGATAACAACTTATCTGACCCCCCAGTGTTTCGTTTCTTGTGGGATTGCCGCATTTCTTGCACTGCAGAGCAATCCACGCAAGAAATGTGAGGTGCAAGAAACTGGGAGAAAGTGCAAGAAATATGCGCCATCCCGCCACGCGCCGTATGAACTGTGCGCTGCGGATGCATTTCTTGCAGATAAAAATATTTCGCTGCGTGAAATCACTTTCTTCCCGTTGTTTCTTGTAAGCAGTGGCCGCGGAAGCGTGGATGGGAACAGAGGGACAATGTCCCCACGGTTATTCGATGTCCCCATCATCTCCCCATCATATGTAAACCCCTCCCTCCCCTATCCTACAATGGCAATGTCCCCACATGTCCCCACACCATCTGCGGCCACTGTACATGCTCCGAATAGGGTCAAAATTGCAGTGGCCGCGGAAGCGTGGAGACAGAAGAGGAGCAATGTCCCCACGGTTATTCGATGTCCCCATCATCTGCCCGTCTTATGTATATAAACCCATCCCTCCCCCATCCTCCAATACTAATGTCCCCACATGTCCCCACAGCTTCCGCGGCCACTGCTTGTAAGTGATTACTTGCATCCGAAAGACTGCAGTTTTGCATGTAAAATATTTACCTAGCTCCAGAACCTTCGAGCTTTCCACGGCCCCCGCGTACGATTCTATCTCAAACGGGGAGAGCAGGTCGGGCCTTGCGGAGGAAGAAGGGTCAGAATCCCCACCACCCCCAAGTTTTGAAATGTCCATGTTTCCCTTCTTCCAAAAAGTTTAAAAAGGCTCCGACTTTTTCAAAGAGTAATGATCCCGAAAATATTAAATCGATTGGCAGCGTATGGACGTCGTATCGATCAAGCTTTTCGGGTTTTCTTCTTTATTATTTTTCTCGACAAGTTTCCCTACAAAATTCAACCTTTTTTTCCGGAATAATTCCATTTTATCGTTTTTGGAAATCCTCCACGGTTACATAATTAAATAAGAAATAGTTAATTATTGCACTACTTCGGGAGCACAATAGTACACGATTTTTTAAAATTGCCAACCCCCACAATTTTCAATTTTGTTCTCCTTCACCAGTTTCCACCTTGTCTCAAACCGGAGAGGAAATGTCAAGCAAGATGAAAATGTCGCCAAGACTGTTCCTCCTCGTCGCTGTCGTCGTGATGATTTTTGACCGCGTCCCCTCTGCGGAAGGTGCATTCCCAAAAACTTGAAAATAAATATGTAAACAGTGCTTCGTTTCTGCATACCTGTTCAAGAATTTAGTTTTCATTCAAAAGTCACTCATAACAATTTCTGACTGAAGATTTTCATTCACATTCAGTCATTTTCTTTCAAATTCATTTCATTTCACTTCATCGGACTTTATTTCTTTCTTCGCCCCTTGTATTAAGCATAGGGTGAAAATTGAAATGAGTGAGAAATTATTTCATTCACAGTCATTCATCTGAAATGACGGAATCTTTCAGTTAGTTTTATTCAAATCACAGGAAATTCATTTTCATTCACTATCAAAATCAGCCAAATGAATGAAAGTGAACAGGTATGGGGGAAACTGCTCGACGTATTTATCGCGCCTTGCATTTCTTTCAGGTCGAAATATTTGTATCTGCAAAACCCCACTTTCTTGCCCCCGAAACACTGCTTATTCATAATTTGCAACTTTATTTTCGCTCACTCTTTCCTTCCTTCCACAACAGGGCTGCAATGCCACAAGTGCCAAACTAAAGGTCGACTATTTCCAAAAAAATCGCGTTCGACTTCTGCTAAGCAGCAGATTGGGAAGGAGGACCAAGGTCTACCTGACTTGGACGAATTAGCGGACCGACTCTCCAAATCCATGAAATGCGAAAACTTGACCAAATCGACGAAAAAAGACCGCACCAACGTGGACATATGTCCATCACACTGGCGAAGTAAGCGTTTTACTACAGACAATGGAGGTCTCCCAGCGTATGCTTTCAGATTTTGAGTAAATTAGTGTTAGTCAATCGCAAATTTAATTGGTATGAAATCTGCGAAAGACGCGATCTCCCAATGGGCACGTTTGGCCGAGATATTTGCATAAAAAGAGGAGAAAACGTGCAGTAAATTTGGAAAGTGTACAATTTGTCGACTTTTAGGGCGCGTTTTCTCCTCTCCGGATACAAATATTTCTGCCAACCCTGCGCAATATTAGCAAATCGTGTCGTTTGCAAATTTCATCAGTATTTCGGCTTAATAACGGGAAGGAGCTGGTTTCTTGTAAGTATTTTTACCTGCAAGAAATGCAGGTCAAAATGCGCAAGAAACCACTTTCGGCCGCTATACTTCATACGGTGCGTGGCGAGATGGCGCATACTTTTTGCACTTCGCATTTATTGATTTGCAGTGCGAGAAATGTTCAGTAAAGGAAACATTGAATTTCAAAAAAGCGGGGTAAAGTTGACAAATTTTACAATTTATTCCACATTTTTCCTCTTGGGATGCAAATATCTCTGCCGCACGTGTCCATTGGGAGATCGCGTCCTTCGCAAATTTCATACTAATTAAATTTGTCATCGATTGACAATAATTTGCTCAAAATCGGATCGCACGCTGGGAGACCTTCATGCTTAATATTAATCATACCTGTTCACTTTCATTCATGTGACTGATAATGATAGAAGAATGATGGTGAATGAAAATGAATTTCCTATGATTTGAGTGAAAAAGATTGAAAGATTCCGTCATTTCAGATGAGTGACTGTGAATGAATGGATTTCTCACTCGTTTCATTTTTCACCCTATGCTTAATAAATGGACGAAGTAGGAAATGAAGTCGGATGAAGTGAAATGAAATGAAATGAGTTTGAAAGAAAATGACTGAAGGTGAATGAAAATCTTCAGTCAGAAATAGGGATGACTGAATTTTGAATGAAAACTAAATTATTGAACAGGTATGATATTAATTTTTGTATATACCTATAGTCTCTGGTTTTCTTTTCTAGACCCATGGTGCGCCACGCACGACACGTATGGCAGATTTTGTACCACCTACGACATCTACGCGACCAGATTTGTGCACATTAAAGTGTGTCGTGACGACACTCCCATCGACATTGACAAGGTGGCGACCACGGGGACGATCTGCGGGTGCAACGACAAGGACTTTTGCAACGATCAACACATGGCGGCGGACAGCATGTCGACAAATTGGCGAATAGTCGTCGCCCTGCTCGGCGTCACCTGGCTCGTCCAACGCTACTAATTTGGCAGCAGCGGTGGTGGGGGCTTCTGAATTATGGCGTCAGTTATCCCAACTTATCTACGTGATGTCGTTATCTAAAGAAAATTCTTCAAAATTGTTTCAAGAGGCAGGAAATTTATTATTTTTTGCAAAATCATACACAAAATTTATATCGTATGCAAATTTAGTTAGATATGTAAATACCGAGCAAAATAATGCCAAATAAATTGTAATGTCTAATTTATAAGTAAATAAAGATATGTAGGGCTTTAGATTTTTAGGTGGAAATGCATTTTATTTATAACGGTTCATTAATCAATTGTAGTCTTCACCACGATATAAAATGTCCACAAAATTTCAAGCTCATCGGTCCAGCCTATCGTGTCCAGAGACCGGCGGTCAGACATGACGGTTGCATAAGCCCGAATCTCAACATTGTTGCTAATTTAAGGCCAAGTAATCCGACCCCTCAATCGCTACTCGGGAATCTTAATTTTTCCAATTTTGGGTGAAGTTTCCCAGGGAAACTTTCCCTGGAAATGAAACGTTCGCCAAATTCGGGGGAAAAAATTTCTCTCAACTTGACACCCTCGATGGACCTATTTTCTGCCCGAGTCTCGTACTTATTTTCTGCTCAAAGGTTATTGGCCATCTTCCAAGCCACCATTTTGTCCGCGGAAGGGAAGGGTCAAGCAAGATGAAAATCTCGGCAAATCTATTCCTCCTGGTTGTCACCGTCGTGATGATTTTGGACCGCGTCCCTCCCGCGGAAGGTGCGTTCCCCCAAAAAAACTTTACTGTTTCGCTTAGTTTGCTACATTTCTTGCACTGCGAAGCAAGCCATGTAGGAAATGCAAGGTGCAAGAAACTGGGAGAAAGCGAAAGAAATGTGCTCCATTTACAATCTAGCCACGCGCTGGATAAAGTATTTCAGCGAAGGGGCGTCGTTTCCTGCTGCGCCTTGCATTTCTTGCAGGTCAAAATACCTGGAAAAAACAATTTCTTGCAGTTATTTCTTGCAACTGATGAAGTACTTGCACCCGAAACACGGGGTCAGCTTTCACCAAATATTTCGTTTCTTTCTGGTGGTTTTCTACATTTCTTGCACTGCGAAGCAAGAAATATGCGCCATCCAGTCACGCGCCGAATGAAGTTTTTACAGCGGCGGGGCGTTCTTTCGCATTTCATTTCTTGCCGGCCAAAAATATCCGCAAAAAAACACTTTTTTTGCATCCTAAGCTGTTATTTCTTGCACCAGAAACACTGCTTGTTCAAAATTTTCCCTTTATTTTCACTCTTTCGACGCAGGGTTGAAATGCTACATCTGTCGCGGAGATCCGGTCAATGACGGGTCAACTTGGCGGGAAGGGGAGACCGGAAAACCGGCCGGGAGACAGGGACCGATTGGAACACAGCAGATCGGGAAGATCTACGGTGATAGCTTCGAAGATCTCCAGAAACAGCTCGCCAACGCCACGAGTTGTCAAGATATGGCCAAATCGACGGAGAAAAAACACCCCCACGTGGATGATTGTCCGCCCAACTTCAAAAGTAAACTTTTTTGTCCTTCTCCTCAGAACGGAGGTCTCCCAGCGTATGCCCTCCGATTTTGAGCAAATTAGTGTGAATCAATTACAAATTTAATCAGGATGAAATTTGCGAAAGACGCGATCTCCCAAGGGGCACGTTTGGCCGAGATTTTTGCATCCGAAGACGAGAAAAGTTGACAAATTTTACACTTTGCAAATTTACTGCGCATTTTCTCCTCTTGGGATGCAAATATCTCAGCCAAACGTGCCCATTGGGAGATCGCGTCTTTCGCAAATTTCATCCTAATCAAATTTATGATTGATTCACACTAATTTGCACAAAATCGGATCGCATACGCTGCCAGACCTGCTACATTGTGCGCATCAATTTCTCTGTAATCTGTTCTCATCCTGGTTCCCATTTTGTATGTAGACCCATTTTGTGCCACGCATAAAAAGCTGGGGCGATACTGCACCACGGCCGGTGAGACTGGAGATGATCCCGTTCATCTGAATGAATGTCCGGCAAACGGGACGATATGCCGGTGCAATACGGCGGACTTTTGCAACGATCAATTCATGGCGGAAAATCCCAAACCGAACGGAGCGAATGACATAATGCACAACCATTCGACCACATTTCGGGTCATCGTCACCCTTCTCGGCGTTGTCTACTTTGCCGCCAGTGGTGGAGTTTTCTGAATCCCAGTGGAAAATTTCGTGTCTGGAATTGTTTTAAGAGGAAGGAAATTTATGATTTTTTGCAAAATACACAAAATTTACATATTATTGTATGGAAATTTTTTAATTGGATAAATATCCAGGAGCAAAATTATTCCCAACAAGTTATTGATTCTTAAAGTGCGGTACAATTATTGCCTTAACAAAAAATGTATGTATGCACAACAATCTTTTAATGGTTATCTTGCGGATGCTTATCTTGCAAGACCGAGCATGTTGTATGGTTCATGTCGATTCGACCAAGTTTCGCCTCGTCGTCGCCACCCTTATCGGCGTCACGTGCTTTGGCGCCAGCGGTGGAGTTTTCTGAATTATCAGGAAAATTTCGTATCTGGAATTGTTTTAAGAGGAAGGAAATTTACGATTTTTGCAAAATTTACATATTATTGTATGGGTACCTGGTTTCGATGGTCCCCTGGGCCACGCCCCCTTGATTTTAATTATAATTCCTGGGCCACTGGTAAAATTCGCAATTTTGGGGAACTTTGGCATGCATAGTAACTTGTAACTTGGGGAAATAATTTTAAATATCAAAAAAAATATTTATTCTCTGCTCTTCTCATATACATTGAAAAATTTTCCATTGTGGCGTGACATTTTAACCACCCTGTATATGAATATATGTGCAACGAACAGGTTACATTGTAATGACGAATGGAGAATTTAACGAAGGTGACAATATTGAAAAAGATTACAGAGAGGAAGGAATGCATATAACTATGAATTTTAAACTGGCACTCAACACTTACACATGAAATGCACAACATTATTATAAAAAATTATAAAACTGGTAACTTTAACACTCCACACAGAATTTAAATAAAAATGCACATTATTATTCATCGTCGTCCTCCTCCCCCGCAATGTCCACGGCAGCGTCGAGGAAGGAATAGGCTCGATGGTTCCTCCGGGTACTTGGTGGTTGGTGGCGATCATATCCGCAATACTTCAACACCTGTTAATTAATTAACAAAAATGCATTTTAAACGGAATAATTACTGTGACCATGCAATTAATTTAATAGTATTAAAACTTACACTACAAACATGCGAACAACATCCCAATGTCCTGGATCCCGTTTTACATGTGCAGTAGTAGGAGTCGATCGCTTTGTGTCCATGTTCTCCGATATCAACCTGAATCCAAACCTGATAGGTCGCTCGTCGATTGAATCGGCTTTGTAGCTTTACACGAAATAGGGACGAGTTTTCTTTGTGAATGAAAAGACGATATTCACCTTCTTCTTGGAGATGCTGATTTGTATAGCTGTCAGCCATTCGGATCTGGAAGGTCCCAAGTGTTATCTTCTTAAGATCATCAATAGACAAAATTGGAAAGTTCGCCAAATCAGCTTCAGTTGGTGCAGTCCAAATAATTTGTTTTCTGAGCAGGCCGTTGTCCTTGATCAGCATCTCTAACGTGTTGGCTCGATCCATGTCACCAATTACTTCATTGATTATGTAGTCTTCATTTTCTGGGGACTTTCTAAACCTAGTCCCGTATTTGTTGTGGATGGCACAAGCAATTCGAAAAAACAAATGAAGCATCTCCGTTCACTTTTTGACACGGTTGGGATATCAATTTTGGCATGATTGCTGAGTAGGGATATCTGCAGTATAATTAGTCAAAATCATTACTGATCTTTAATAATCGAGCTTAAGTAAAATAGTGTACTACAAACCGATTGGGTAGATGAAAAGCTGATGGACAGGGAGGTCTGACTATTGACTGTTAAACTGGAGTCCAAAGAGGATTGAGAGGTCGACGCCACGCTGCTTGGCTCCTGCGATTCCTCAATCGTGCTGCAGGTATCGGCTACGCATAAATCAGAGACGGTTGGAACAGCTAATCGTGAAGATTTGGATAGTGCAGTTCGATAATCCTGAAAACCGTTCCTTTAGTAATCAAAGCGCAGTCTTGCGTGGCAGGATTTGCAAATTAGGGTCGGTGGGGGTAAAACTTTTCCCAGTGTGACCAAGCTTCATCGTCACGATGTCCCACAGCAATTTCTCGTTGGGACCAACTCCCCCAATCGCTCTGCTCCATTGGTTCGAAGAAATCCGTCTCTCACAACAGCTACATTTTCCATGTCCACTGCGGTGCACTTCATGGGCCTAAAATTAAAAAATAAGTAGATACTTATATAAATAATTATAAAATCTAGTGCTTCTCACAGTGACATCAATGTGTGGACTTCGACGTCTACGTGTAATGGTGGCGCTCTTGACATGGGAAAGGTCCACTCGCCTTTTTCTCCCATTTAAAGTTCGCAGTCTTCGATTTTTCCCCATTAGTCCAGACTCGTGAAGGCCGTGCCACGGTGGACGTTCTAAAAACATAAACATTATGATCACGACTGGCGAATATAATTTGCATCGCGTTTACCTCTTGTTAAGTTGACAGTGACCAACTCCGCGACAGTGCTGGTAAACAAGTTTTCCGGTGGTCGTTGTTGCTGGTTTACGCTGCGCGGTGGCGTCGACACGGGCGAAAGGCTCTCCGACAAGAATTTGTTGAGAAGAGAGTGGAGTTGATAAGCTGGGACTCAAGAATGACGAAATCTTGTCGCAACGGAATTTGCGAATGTCCAAGCAGATGTAAATATATATGTAAACATTGGTTGAAAACCATCCGCTTTGGTTTGTTATTTTGTTTTTTGGTCATTTAATCACTGATGACAACAAAAATATGCCTTATTTTAAGAATTTGTGCACCGATTTTTACACAAACCCAAAGTTACCCAACTCCAGTCGACTTTGTGGCAAATCGGTGACAGGGATCATCTTTATTTTTTCATACCAAATACTCGGATAGTTGATTTATGCAGCTAAATTAACTTCATCGAAATGAGATCATGCAAACGCTTGTTTTTTTAAAGTGATCATTTAACCCCCAATTTCGACCCAAAAATGGGCGAAATCGTGCTCATGCGAATGCCAATTGGAAAAATATGGTGGTAGGGATCAGGCTATTTTTTTCGTGATCTCAACATGGATAGTTGTACTATGCAATGGTGCAAAAATTGGGGTTCTAGCGGTTTGCAAACGCTTGCAATCGCTTGGCCAAAATGACCATGAAAATAGGTACCCTTCTTTAATTGGATAAATATTTACAAAATTATTCCCAATAAATTATTGATAGCGTCTCATTCGGTACAATTATTGGCTTAACAAAAAATGTATCTATGCACAATAATCTTTTAATGGTAGGAGGGATGCTTATCTTGGACGCTTATCTGGGAAGACCGAGCACGTTGTATGGTTCATGTCGATTCGATCAATTTTCGCCTCGGCGTCGTCACCCTGTTCGGCGTCACGTGCTTCGTCTACTTTGGCGTCAGCGGTGGCGGAGACTTCTGAATCAAGGCGTCAATTATCCCAACTTATCTACGTGATGACGTATTATCTGCGAAAAATTCATATCAGGAACTGTTTAGGGAGGCAGGAAATTTATAATTTTCGCAAATTTTTAAATTGTGTGCAAATTTAACTGGATAAATATAATAGAGGAAAATTATTTCCTATAAACTAATTGTACGTATAGCGTCCCATTCATAAATTAAGTTGGAACTGGTGGATTTTAGATTTTTTTGGGGAAGTGTATAATAATACTTCTAATTAATTAATTAATTAATTAATAGTCATCTTCATAATCACAATATATGTAAATTCAGTCTTGCTACTTAATTAATCATCCACTGTCGAAACTCGTACATAATTTGATAAGCTCATATCGATCCCAGTTTTCCATCCAACTTTGTGACTTTGCTTTTTCGCCTCCGAATTTATCATCGGCACAACCATCGAGGTCACATCGTCCCCCTCAAAATTGACCCCTCATGATCACCATTGGAAGAGCCGGGCTAAAACAGTCATTCCTAATTTAACCTTATAAAAACTAATTAATTTTGACCTGGATACCATTTAAAAACGGAATTAAAAATGGTTTCTATTGCATTTGGGGGCGGATTTACTGGGGGGCAGAATACCATTGAGACCGACTTGTGGGGCGGTGATAAAATCAGTTGGGGACTGAATTAATGCAAACCGATTTTGAATATTCTACTGATGCAGTTATGATTTATTAGAGACCTGGAACTGATTCGACAACAAAAATTAGAACATAATACATTTTTAACATGAAATTGCAACTGAACCAAATGAACACACGATATTAATTTTGATAAAAAGATCGGATTTGATTTTGATAGTACTACAAAAATAAACTAAACGAATAAATCGTCATCATTCATGTCATCAATTTGATGACACTGATTTTGGGATGCATTTTATATTTTAAACAAGTTATTAGCTATAATTTTGTCCTTCAGTGTTCTGTGACTTGTTCCGATCGGTGGTGACACTATTGCGAATATATTAGCTAAAGAGAACGTTGTGATAATTTTAAAAAAATATGAACTGTATCATATTTACAACATGATACAGGTCAGAGGTCAACGCCGACCAATTTATTAGCGGCGCCAATGTTGGATAATTTTTCGGGGGCGCGGCGTGACCTCTGATGCACTTCCTCCGAGTTCCTCCCCCCACTACAACTACAACTCTAAACTCTAAAAAAATTAGTTCAGGCTTGAAGAAAAACCAACGACAAATAAGGAGGAAAGAATGGAACTGAGAAAATTTTCTCGGTCATTTAATTTTTATTTTTTCCTACACCCTATTGATGTAGCCCGGTCTCAACGGAATTCTGTAACCATACACCTTATTGGTGGAATCCGTCGCTAAGGCGAAAAATTTGGCCTACACCTTATTGGTGTAGTCCGTCGCCAAGAGATCGAAATCGCCCTCCACCTTATTGGTGGAATCCGTTTTTAAAAGGTTAATAAAAAAAAGGGTGGAAAATGTGTCACCAGATTTTCTCTCAACTGTTCACCCTCACTTCTTTCTGTATTTGGTCCTCCTTGACCCTTCTCCGCTCAAAGGTAGGCCGCCATTGCCCCCGGACCGCGACCCTGTCTCGAACTGGTAGGGAAACGTCCAACAAGATGAAAATCTCGGCAAAACTGCTCCTCCTCGGTGTCACTATCGTCGCCGTCGTGATGATTTTGGAACGCGTCCCCTCCGCTGACGGTAAGTCCCCTAAAACTTCTATATTTCTTGCAATGGAAAGCACGATTTGCGAGGTGCAAGAAACTGGGAGAAAGTGCAAGAAATAGCCACGCGCCGACATTTCTTTCGCCTCGCTTTTCTTCCAGGTCAAAATACCTGCCTGCAAGAATCTACCATCTTTCCATTATTTCTTGCCCCCAAAACACTGCTTATTCAAAATTTGCATCTTATCTTCCCACAGGGCTCAAATGTTGGAAGTGCTGGGCTGATTTTAAACGATTGTCTCCTCCCGGAGCGACTATGCAGTCTTCTCCGGACCTGACGCGGATAAAATAACTGAGGAGATGTCCAAATCCATGAAATGCAAAAATATCAACGAGGGGACGCAAAAAGTCCCCACCAACGTGATGGAATGTCCTCCCGAGTACAATGGTAACTTTGTAAACTTTTTTCAAGCTACGCTACACCGGGACGATTTATGTAAAAAAAAATCAAGCCAACAATTAGGAATCACATCTTCCTATTGAAAAAATGACCCCTTTGAAGAAAAATTTTGGGTGCAAAGTTCCCACGTCCGCGGTGATTTTCAAAGCCCCGTGGAGGATACACCTGTTCACTTTCATTCATTTGAGTGATTATGAACGAAAATGAATTTCCTGCAATCTGAGTGAAAATTATTGAAAGATTCCGTCATTTCAAATGAATGACTGTGAATGAAAGATTTTTCACTCATTTCATTTTTCACCCAATGCTTAATACATGGAGCGAAGTAAGAAATGAAGTCGGATGAAGTGAAATGAAATGAATTTGAGCTAAAATACCTGAATGTTAATGAAAATCGGAAATCGGGATGACTGACTTTTGAATGAAAACTAAATTTTTGAACAGGTGTGGTGGGGGAAAAAACGAGAGAAAAAATTTAACCTCCCCCAAACATTTTTCTTCAATAGGGGTCATTTTTTCAAGAGAAACATAACGGACGGTCCATAAATTATGTCAGGCGAGAAGACTCCAATGATATCGTGCCTATGTGACATGTTAAAGGGGGGGGTCTAGAAAATCGCGATTTTTTCGTGACATAATTTATGGATCTCCCCTAAATGTTATGTGGTTCCTAATTTTTAGCTTGATTTTTTTACACGATTCGGATGCAAAAAATCGCCCATTTAGCGTTCCGTATTTTATGAACGTGCCCTTATTTTAATTAAGAGCAAAATTATTCCCAATAAATTGTAATTTATAAATTGAAGTGGAATTAGGAGGGTTTAGATTTTTAGGCGGAAACGCATTTTATAATTAATTACACTTAACTAATTAATAATCGTCTGCACCATAAAATCATTCGTGATT